GCACAGAAATTTTCTAACAAACTGTGAATGTGGTTTGATTCATTGACATTAGTTGTACTTCATTCCATAACTAAAGTTATTAAGTCTTGTTTATTGTTGTCTTTCATTGAAAAGATTCCCTTTTTATCACAAACTACCAGGTTCCTTATGGAGTTCATTGGAACTCATTCCCCATTGATCTCAGACAGACAACATGCTACACTACATTCAAGAAGAACATTAAGACCTATCTGTTTAAAACTTTTTTAGTTTAGTTTGTCCTTTTAGATCTCGTGTTAATATTTGTTATGTTATCACAGTGCCTTGAGTCTACATTTTGTTTGTTAACAGCGCTCTAAAAATTTAATTATTATTATTTTTTTATTTTTTTTTGTAATTGTAAGAACAAAAAAAAGTTGTTAATTTTTTTTTTTTATAATTTATTCAGGCTAGAAGAAGATGGAGTACTGACAGATTGTAGCTTGAAAACTCTAGAACCAGATGAAGTATTAGACTTTGATTTCTCCAGTGCTAATGTTGTGAATAAAATCATAATGAAGGTATTGTTTTGTTATTGTCATCAAAATAGAATTTGGTTATTGTAGGGGCCACCAACCTTTTTTTTTAGCCTTCATATTTTTTTATGCAAAATTTGAAAAGGCTCTGATCCAAATCTATATCTAAGTTATAGCCAATTAGATAGTCTGAAGGTTTCAGTCTAGAGCAGGAATCTAGATCTAAAACTTCATAATGCCCAACCCATTTTTCTGCTTTATCTTAACATTATTGAAAGTTCACTATTTAATATTATTATTCTTTTTTTTTTAATGATTAAACTTAGATACATTTACATTCATCCAGTCTTTTTTTTTAAGTGGGCTGAATGTAGATCTTATACATTGACTGCAATTTCTATACCCTCATACAGTTAAAAAATATGTATATGTATGTTCATCATGCAATGTGCCTTTTTTTGTCTAAAGAAAATAAATTACATCATTATTTTATTTATTTATTATTTTATTTATTTATTATTTTATTTATTTATTATTTTATTTATTATATATTTATTTATTTATTCTTAAAACATAATATTGACAACTAACAAAAAAATATATTTATATATGTTTAACTGTTGCTAGAAATAAAACCTAGCTTGTTTGTTTTTCTCTAAAGAGTGAATGTTTGAAAGAAGTTTTCAGCGAGCTAGACACCACTAGTGAAGTATTGCAGATACTGATATCCCCTGACCAGCCCTATCTACAGTTCTCTACATTTGGTAATGCTGGCAGCACCCATGTAAGTCTTAAGGCTCTTTTTTTTTTTTTTTTGGTCACATTATAAAATTTTTATTGCACATTGATGTCAGCTCTGTATGAGATGTTATAGTTAAAATGGTGGGTCATAGAAGTAAGTAAAACAGCAAGCTTAAAAGTGGGATGTTTGGCTCAGAGTAAGACCATTTGTAAAAAAAAAAAAAAAAAAAAAAAAAAATCACTATTAGGGACACTTCAGGACAGAAGAATAAAAAGTGTTGTAACAATAATACAGAAAACACTGAACCATAATAAGTCTGTTACCTATAATCTAAGAGGGGTTGTGGTGTCTAAGTGGTAAAGTGCTTGACCTTCGAACTGAGGAGCCTCTTGTTCCAATCTCGATGAAGACTGAGATTTTGAATTTTGGGATTTTTTAGGACTTAAATGGTTACTTGAAATTTGATAAAAGTACACTATTGTTAAAACTAGATTGATCATTGAAAATACTCTAAACTATACAACTTAAAAACACTGTTAATCAATAGCACTCAAGAAAAATAACTCATCAGAAGGCATTGGTAAGAATAAGGGAAACTATATACAGAAAAATGAACTTGCCTAATAAATGGAACAGAATCTAATTCCTTGTCTTGAGAGAGAAAACAATGATTATATTATCTCAGACAGACACTATTATCATTAACCATGTATGACATACACCTTATGAGGCAGCAACATTCTATATTATCATGGTATAGACCTCTAAAATTTACAGATCACTAGTAAAAAGCTGACTTGAGGAAAAAGATTATTACAAAATTATGTACACTTTTGATGCTGTGCCATGCTTGTACAATATTAGAAATATCGGGTCAAGAAGGCCATTAGGGAGATCTTTTTCTATGGCCAACTGTTAATGAGGGTGTCATGACCAGCAGAATGACCAAACACCCTTCCTCAACAAATAGTAAGGTTTGGTGGATTCAGGGGCCTTCTGAAAATATTGAAATTCAAAATCCCAGTCATCGCAAAGATTTAAACCCAAGACCTCTCAGTCACATGCTTTACCATTGAGCCACCACACTCCCCCTTTAGAAATAATTGATTACTTCTTGAGTTTGATATATTTGATTATATCTGAATAAATTATGTGTACCTCAGAGAAGCAACCATACTATTATCCAGTAAATATGATGTTGGGCAGGAATTTTCAGAATTTTCAGCTCAGATTCATTTTACACTACTCTGAGACTAGGTTACTCTATATTGTAGCTTTTCTGTCAAGGAGATGTGCTCCATTATGATTATAATTTGGCAAGAATACCTCACAAATAATAGTTTTCTGGTGTAGGTCAATCTGGGCAATACTTATTAATGGTAGATGACTGCATGCCAAAGGCCCTTTTTATTTGGTGCTTTAAAAAAAGAATTTCAAGACCAGTTTAGATGTGGGATTATTTTTACAGTCAAAGCTGGGAGCTTGTGGCATTACTGTTTCTGAATAGGAAAGCTAGAAAATTTATACACAGACTGCAGCACTGCTTCATTAACAAAATATGTTGGTCAAAATTGGGTATTTGTTGCCATGTGCAATTCTGTGAAGTATCTAAATTATAGTTTATGCACAGTAAATGTATAATATTCTTAATGAGTTTGTTTACTATTTTATTCTATTAACTTCTATTCTATTCTATTAATAACTGTTTGATAGACTCTGTTACTTTGTTTCAGTCCTCCTTTCCAAAAGATTCAGAAATGGTGGAATCTTTCCTCAGCAATCAAACTCAAACTAATCGGTAATCACATTTTGCTAAGTATTGCTATAATTTTTTTTTAATTTTTTTTTTGACATTTCAACATTTGTCTAGTTATTAAATATGTTTAATCATTACACTTTTTTTTTTTATGAATTATTAATGGAAACATTAAGTTTCAAAGGTTAAAAATAAATTTTTAAAAATTAAACCAAATTTCACCCCAGACTTATTTGCCTAAGAATAATACTTGAATAACATAGATATAAGATCCAAATCTTAGGCAAACTTTTTCATGTTTATGTCATATAAAATAATTTTTGCTAAACACAGTTTTTAAAGTTTACAATACATGCCTTTTTTGTACATAGTCATTTAGGTTACAGTTATATCAATCCATTTTTTTTGGTTTGGGAAGGGGAGTGTTATGTTTAGATACTTGAATTACTAAAATAGGTTAGAAAACTATTCTAATCATTTTTTTAAGCTTCATCAAAGCAGCCTTACAAGTCAAAATATTATGGAAGCATGTGGCTCTTGATATTTTAATTATTATTTTTTGTTTACAGTTTAATAAACTAAGCGGTAATTTAGAACTTTTTCAAACATTCCCAAAAAAAGACATTTCTTAGAATCAATTTTAAATGGGATGGGGGCGGGGGTCAGGATAAAACAATGATCTAATTTTTTTTAAAGTCTAGCTAAAGAAGTAGTTTTTAAAAAAGTATTTTTGTTTTTCTTGTTTTTCATTTATAAAAATTTTTAGATAATCAATTGACATTGCAGTCCACATTTATGTTCTCCCTTATATTTTCTTGTCAAAAAAGATGATTCTCAAGTTTTAAAAACCTAGTCACATGCTGTGGAACTATATCTGTATCTTCTTGTTTTCAGTTATAAAATCAGTCTTCTGAAACCATCTGTGAAGGCACTGAATTTGTCAACTAGAATCTCAATAAGGACTGACAGTAGAGGATTTCTTTCATTACAATACATGATTAAAACAGAAGATGGACAAATTTGTTTTGTTGAATATTATGTAAGTTTTGAACAAAGGCTACATATGTTTGTATAAGGAACTGATTCGAGAAGTGCTTATGAAAACCATATATAATGCAAACATAAATCAATATTCTCAAAACAATAGCACTAACAAGGAAGTAATTATCATGGTCTATTTTGGTTTGCAATGTTTCACATTCACTCCAACAGACAAAAAAAAAGTCCACTCTTGTGAAGCAAGAACCTTTTCTTCTCTTCCTAGTGCATTTCATGTATTAAAAAGTGCACAATCAGAATATGTTGAATCCAATTTCTGGGACTGTTTTATTTTAACATTTTAAGGCAGTTTTTTTGTTTGTTTGTTTCTTTAACATATTAAGGCTGTTGAAGGCGCGGTGGCTGAGCGGTAAAGCTCTTGGCGTCTGATCTAGGGGTCCCGGTTTCAAATCCTGGTGAAGACTGGGATTTTTAATTTCAGGATCAATGAGTCCACACAGCTCTAATGGGCACTGGACACTAGTTGGGGAAAAGTAAAGCCCGTTGGTCGTTGTGCTAGCCACATGCCACCCTTGTTAACTATCGGACAAAGAAACATATGATCTTTACATCATCTGCAAAGTATGAAAGGCAAACTCTACTTTTTATTAAGGCAGTTTAATGGGAGAGCGCATTATAAAGTCTTGGATAAAAATAAATTTGATGTTAAGGGCATTTCTGTCTTTATGATCAGTTAACTGACTGCTCTTAGGAAAGTAAATTCCTTGGTAGTTTGGCAGGCCACATATCATTTGAAAAAGTCTGATAGAATGAAGTGGACTAATAGATCATTTTGAAAACAGCTTGTTTCAACTTTATTTATTTGTTTCCCATCTGCAGTGTGCACCAGATGAAGAAATTACTGATGACCCAGAAACTTAACTTCTTTTTTGTTGTATTGATATTGTTAATGTTATTTTCTTGTAAATATGAAGATACACTATGGAAAATAAAAATACAAAAGAAAAAGATGTCAGTGTAAAATTTTTTTATTATTTTGTATTTAATTTAGAAAAAAAAATCCAAATGCAAAAAGAGCATACAAAAAAGTCTGGGGCTTTTACATTCAATAGTACATACAAAATTATTTCAAATACTGCCAAAAAAAATGGAATTATCACAACCTGAGACTCTGAACTTTAACTTGTTCCATGCAGTTGGATAATATTGGTGCATTAATATTAAAGAAACCAATAATAGAACCATATATTTTTTTACACCTTTTTATTTTAAACAGTTTATTAACTATATCATCAGATAATTGAATCTGCTTGCCATTATTCCAAATTGATTATTCTCTAACCATTTGTTAATTTAAAGAATCTATTTTATTACATCTGAGCCTAAGTAATTTATGTATAAAAAAAAAATATTGAGAAATGACGGTGATAATTATTTCTAAAATGATTTTAAAATAAAAGAAGTTTTTGGAATTTCCTAGACAACAAAGTTTCCTTTAGATATAAATTTAGAATGTTTTACAAAAAGGTTTCTTACATAGTTTATAAATATGCTAAACCATTCTTGCAAACAACAAAATTTTAAGAAGTATCAAAATAAAAATATATGTACAATTTTTTACATTGAACCATGACTTACAATATGAAATACAGATATGAGAACAAATACAATGAAAGCACTCAAGTGTCCTTGTATAACAATGAACAGCACAAATGAAAAGTTTTAAGTTTCAAAATACAAATGGAATAAATGTATTTATGTTTGGTAATTATATTAAATAAAATTCAAATTAAAAACACATCAATCACAATAGTTAATAATATTATGCAATATCCTTTTAATAGTTTAACTTTTTTTTTCAACAAATACACTGCAAGCACTCTAATTTCATAGCACAACAAAATGTGTACCATAGAAAAAAATCGCTATATGTAATATGAACAACTGGTTTTTGGCCCTTTTGTTTATGTAGAAATTCACTGATATAATGAAGAGCTAAACTTTGGGTGGGAGCAAAGAAGAGTCTAAATACTCCATGGAAATGTCTAAACAAAAAACTTTGTATGTACTTCTTAAGTAATTATACAATTTTTTAAGAATAGTGGAACATTTTTAATATCAAATTAAAACGTTTCCTCCCTACATTTGAAATGAAATAAAGCTATTGGAGATTTCACATTAAAGGTTAGTCGCAGTAATCTGCTATTCATTTACATTTAAATGTGTAATTGATTCTACAATGCTAAAAAGTGCAGAAGAAATGTATTGTTTTTTCCATATTCTGGATACACCAAATAGTTGCTTTGTATGGATTTGATTTTATTTTATACCAATCTCAAATGTAAGTGTTTGGTAATTGATGTTTTGAAAATAATGTTTAAATTAAAAATGTTGGGCATATCAACCACAATTTATTATTACTAAAATGCAATATTCTATTCACAGGAACAAAAGTTACAAGATCAAAAGTCACCTTTTTCCAGCCACATTCAAGAGAACAATTCAATTTTGAAATCCAATTTACATGAATGTTTTTAGATAAGCTTTTCTACAAATAGAACATTATCTTAAAGAAGAAATTGTTTATCATATTAGAAGGTATTTTAAGTAAAAACATCTAAATGACTTTATTTCTTATGACATTTTTAAAATGCACTCAAGATAAACCAGCACCTTATTATACAAAAGAAAGGTAACTTTAAGATATTTTTAATAGTTTGCCTTAAAAAAAAAAAAAAAAAATGTTCAAGGGACATATCACTTCAAATTAAATAGCTAATAACAATATAGTCCTCAACATACAAGTTGATTGTCATCTGTGTAAGAGACAAGCCAACAAGAAAAAAAGGCAATAAATAAAACCTGTTATACTTCAGATGTAATCTAACAAATAATATGCATTTCAGACAATAGAAGTCTGATTTCAAAATACACTTTCCCATTTGATTTAGATTTAAACAATAGGGAGTGACCAAGCTTTAACAACATAAAAATTTTGGATAATGCTTTGAAATAATAACTTGTGGTAGGCAGTAATAAACAAACTACATTTAGTAAATGCAAGTGTATAAATGGAGACAAGTACAAAACATTTCTGATGAATTATTTACAATAGGTCAGTTTTTCTGACTAGTAAAATCACATTTGATAATGAGTAGTAAAATATTTGAATATTTTCTCAACAGTGGTTTTATTATAAACATGTTACATTAAAACGAGATTTTTGTAGAGAATTGTTTTTTTTTTCTTTTCACTATTTTAAGTGATATTGTATGTGGTTATCAAAAGATATAAAGTTTGATAAAAATGTAAAGTTACTGGATTTCAAAGCTAGAACTTTTGTATCTAGATTTTAATCGGGTCTCAGAATTGCTAAATATCCTTTTCTGGAGAAAGTAAAATGTTACTTAACAAAATGCATCTTTGTTAAATGCTGGTTACAAACAGATGTGAACTATACTTTATCTATAAAAGAGTAAAAAAAAAGTGTATACAATAAATGCACTTTAGATGCACAATGGGCTAGGCCTTATATTTCAAAATATAATCCAGTTATCATATAACATGCAATTGGCAAAAAAATCATAGTATAAAGAGTGTATCATTTTGTAACTTGCTCACAAAAGTTTCTAATTTATCTTGTGCTAATAGCACATGGAGATAATACACTCATTTAGGTAACATGATGACTAGTTTAACTAAGCAAACCCTAGGGTTCTTTTTGAAATATAAATATATACATATATTTTCAAACATATTTTAACATTGAAGGCACAATAAACTAATTTGACTTTTATTTCATAACTGCTTGATTGCCTAAGAATTTTTGTGGACATATTTCACATTGAACAGATGACATTGACAACTAAAAGCATGTAACATAAACTGAACAATTGTTTGAAACATCTTGACATTTACTTTATATTTAATTTAGTCTATTTTAAAAGAAATGAGTTACATGAAAAACACTTTAAAAAAATGATTTTGACAATATGAGATTTTAAAAATCTGTTTATACAAACATCTTTAATATAAAAGTAAGAAAGTTGTTATTTATACATAGCACTGAGCTGTAATTAAATCTATTCTTTTAGCGTAGTTTTGTTTTTGTGGCCATAGTCCAGCTCAGCTCCTCCACTGACATTGATATTAATTCCTGTACAAAATGTGGCATCAGCAGCTAGGAACAAGCACACTAAACCACATTCTTCAATAGTGCCAAATCGTCCCAGCAACTAAGAAAATAAGACAACAGATAAATGAGATGTAATTATTGCCTAAGCCATCCGTGTTGACATGCAGTTTTGTTGCAAGCCAGTTTATGAGTCTGTGTCTGTCTTTTTCACCCTTAAATAAATCCCTAGAGCACATGTACAGTGGTTAAAATAGATCAGTGTGTTAAGGAGTGTCAAAGAGGGGGTAGAGACTTAGAAGTCAAGAGAGAGACAAGCAGGTTGTCTTTTTTTTTGTTGGAGATATATAATCTGATATTAAATTCCATATTCAACAGATTATGAAGCAGATAAAATAGTCTTCTGTATAAAAACTATGTAATCTTTAGACTTGAATAGCTTCTTTTTTTTACACGGAAAAGTGTTTGAATTTTTCTGAAATAATAGTAATAATCTGATAAAGTTATAATTTTCAATTGTCTATAACTATTTTATGATAAGATAAATAAGTTTTTTATTATTATTGTTTATTATTAAGAGGTCTTGAGACAATGCAGATTTTAAGTTAAGTAATAGTGTACAGTGTACACAGAATTATTAGTCCATTTGAAGTTTTGATACTGCTCAGATTTCAACATATATGTTTTATATGTTTTTGGAAAAGACTAAATCAGAATATTATTAAAGTTATCCACAATTATATTTTTTAAAAAGGGTTATAGTTAGGGTTTACTATTTAGATCATTTTTTCAATCAATTTTTCTAATAAGACTGAAAGATGACTTAAAAAATATGAACTATTTCTATATTTCTATAATTTTATACATAAATAATTATAAGTAAAGTTAAGTAACCCATTCAGACCTTGAGATCTATAGGGCAGATGATGTAAAGGTCATCTGTTGCTATCCCCAACAGTTAACGAAGGTGTCGTGTGGCCAGTACAATGACCAACCACTTTTATTTTCCCTAACTAGTCAGGTACCCATTAGAGTTGGGTTGACTCAGAGGCATCCTAATAAACCTGAAAAAAAAATCCCAGTCTTCACAGAGATTCAAAACTGGGACCTCTCATTTCAGTTGGTCATTATGAGCTCAGTTATTCTTAAAACCATTTTTATATTGTATTTGATGAAAAAAAAATTAATGGAATCAATTTTTAAGCCAAGAACATTTTACTCCAATCCCAGTTGAAAATGTAATCCACTGAGATGAACAATGTTACCATCAAGCAATATAAAGCAAAATTATTTTTTTTTTAGTAAACTTTGAAATAGGTTCAACATCTTTTGTTCTCTTTTTTTTTATAGATAAATTTTATTGTTGTTAATACAAACAAAATTATGTAAAGGCCAAACACAACTGGTAAACACAGAAAGGATAATCTTTAGAAATAAAATAAAATTTCAAAGCTTTTTAATTAAAGATGTTAATGTTATTTCCAAAATAGATAAATTATGTTTGTGTTTTAATGATGAACAGTCAAATCTAAAAAAGCAAGGTCGACATGCAAAAAAATGTCTCACTAGCTTGCATTTGAATTGATGAACATACAGTTGAAATATCTCTCACCTGAGCATCTTTTCCAGCTTGAATACATTTGTTATAATCTGGAGAAGCTAAGGCTGCCTTTTCCCACAAGGGAGTGAAGATATTTCCAGGAGAAAATCTATCATTAAAACAAAACAGTGCATTGAAACAATTATGTTTTCTTAAATGAAAAAAAAATATGCAGGGTGGTTAGAATTACTAAAACTAATGTAACTTTTTTATTTTATTATATAATTTAACATTTGATTTTATTATAAAAGAAAATAGATCTCCACCAGCAGTGCTAGGAAAGTTACTCCCTGAGAGTAACCCTGCACTGAAAGAGTTAACAAGGTTAATGATGAAAATATTGCTCTTAAGCAATGCCTTCATGCCTTCCCTTGAAAAGGTGTCACCACTGAAAATGTAGGTGAACAAATGAAGGATGCAGCTATTCTAGGATAAGACATATATTGTCACATGATCTGACTAGTTTTAAAACAATTTGTCTGACTTACAACAAGGCAGCCATGAAGATTTTATATACAAATTATGCACTACACCAATGATTAGTTAATGTTTTGACTTTTTAAATCAAAAGCCTATTGACCTTACAAGACCATTATCATTTGTAACTAACTTCGTAATATCACATATAGCTAATTAAGTAAAGAATGTCATAGATAAGATAATTTCCTATTTCTGAGTCTTAACAATTAATAGGGATGTCGTTCTACCAGAAAGTGGAATAACTTAGCCAGGGCTTTGCTCAGCAACTGAATGAATTGTCATATAGCGAGTCCTCTTTACAAAAAATAAGTGTACAGGATGAACTCATAGCTTCCCTTATAATTAAAGCAGTAGGTATTGATTTTTTTCTTGCTTATGTGATCTGCCTGTCCCCTGATAAATTATGAACTTATTTATGAGATTCAATACCCAGTTTTAAATTGCATTTAACATTTGATCACCCACTTACGAATTGACTCGCACATTGTACTTGGCCTCATCAATAGCCAGAGCTTTTGTCATAGATATAACAGCACCCTGTAACAAAGACAAGATTTATGTTCAATAACATAGTAATAGTCAAAAGCTTAGTTCTGATTGCAATACAATTATAACTCCCATATTTATTCCTACCTTAGAGGCTGCATATGTGACTGCTCCAGGCTGACCTATATAGGCCACCAAGCTACCATTATTTATAATATTCCCTTGCGTCTTT